TATGGGTAAATTGTTTCTTTTACACATAACTTAATTAAATAGTATAGAAGAGTAAAATATGTTGCCTCTTTGTAAAGAATACAACAAACAGTACGGTAATGAAAAAATAGAAGGTGATGTATAACTTCACTCACCACTAATTCTCACGAGCCATTCTTACTTAAATGAAAGGGTATTTATGTCAAAATTGCATTGAAATGGTTACTAGTTGTTTGATGCTATTGGCATAGCTATATTTTTCTTTCTTTTGCTCAATATAAATATTTTGTTGTTGATATTTTGTTGCAAACTTTTTTTTGTTAATAATATAATTTTTGAGAGTTTAGTTTTAACATTTCATTATTTTATATACGTAAACGTATCAAATAAATCCCTTATAGATTAATTGACAAGTGATTTTGGAGAAAAAACTTATGTCTCTTCTCAAAAATCATTCTCCCAATTTTATTATGGCATGACATTATATAAAATATAACATGGCAAAATGTCTTTCTAATTTAGCCCACTAATAACTATTTAAATTAGCCTACACTCAATAATCTTTCTCTTCAATCGGCCACTATATAACAAATTAAATTAGCCAAAATCACAATTAGCCTAAGATCACAAAATCACAATTATGCAAATATATTTTTACGGAGTCTTCACAAAAAAAATCTCATCAACTAAACTTAAAATCTCATAATCTATATTTTAGCCATTACAAAATCCAAAGCACTAGCCTATAGCATGTCTCCCCTAATATATATAAGCCATCTAACTTACACTAAAAAAATAATTTTACATTCTTATCAATAAATTAAGTAATTCAATAAGTGAAATTGATCTCTAAATTTATATTTTCATAATGTTTTATATAATTTAAAAATCATTTGTTTTTAGCAAAATAAGAAAAAGAATTAAAATATTCAAAAATACTCATCATGACTGATCATGTAAGAATCTCATTTCCTTATAATCTCCTTTGTGTTAATAATCTATCATTGTGTTTGTTATCTTATTGTCTTATTATTACCTAAAAGATAAAATAGATCATTAGATTTCATTTAACTTGAGAATATCGTCTTTTATTTTATTTGCAGGATTGCGATGGCATCCACATCAAAGGTCTCTTGATCAATTTGATCTATTACAGTTGGCCAGATTTACTAAAATGCGAACCAGCATTCGTTACCGAACTAGTAACGCCAATTATTAAGGTACTTTAGGATTGATTCATTGCATAATATCTTATAATATTTTATAGTGTCCTATGTTAAATAAGTATGACTAAAAATTATATTCAGGCTATGGACGTTGATGGACAAACTCAGCTATTTTAGTCAATACTAGAATACAACATTTTTTAAGCAGCAAATTTGGTGCATACATCGCAGTGGGATACCAAGTATTACAAAATTAGTTTGTTATACTTTTTGATTCGCGTGTTATATACTGTGAACATTTTTTGTTCAATTTCATGTTTGTTTTTCTCCAGGGGTTGGGGTCAAGTTCCTCTGATGAAGGCAGAGGATACTTCAAAGACCTTGATCATCACACAAAAGAATTTACTTGGACTAACAACAAGCTTGACAAAAGGCCAAAACTAGTGCATTTAGTCTAACATGTGTTCAAGTCCGCCAAAAAATGATTCTCGACTTTAAGGTATGGAGTATTTTTTTCAATTCTTAAAATTGTTTACTATTTTTTTTTCATTTGACTGATTTCACTTTTTGTTTTCCAGAGTGGCACTTTCTTTAACTAGTCAAAATTAAGTACTATAAATTCGTAGAGAAAGAGCTCGTCCAATTCTTTATAGAAAGTCTGAAAAGATCCATTCATTTTCTTATTGATGGTCTCAAACCAATCCACATGTATTATTTTCTATATTTGAGAAGAACTCCGACAAAGAGATTTCTGGCTCTACATTATCTTGTTATATAGCAGATCACACAGCTTATCATCATGGTGAAAGTTGTCTTACCAACGCTATCATCAAGATGTCAAAGGATTTTATAGGAAGTAACATTAATTTGTTGCTATGATTAGGCCAGTTCGGTATCATGTAGGTTTGTTGATACGATTTTCCATGTAGATTTTTTTATCTTGTGTTTGTTGAAAAGATTGAAAAAATCTGCATAGAACAACAATTTTTTTAATGCAGTTGATCAACAATCTTGTGTTTATCAATAATCATGGAACAACGAAAAAACAGTTTATCAACAAACATCTATGCATTAAAAAAACAGTTTATCAACAATTGCTGAAAACCATGTATGGAACAACTGTTGAAAAACATGTTGAAAAAACATGTTGGCCGTGATATGCATTGAACAACAAACAT